TATAAAATTCCTTTAATAAAACGATAACCATTCGTGATTTTGTTTTTTTTTTAAGTTCGGTTTTAAGACTCTCTAATTGCAAGATATTTTATTAACCAATTAAATTGACTTATTTAATTAAAAGTTTTTTTTCTAAGTACAAGATATATTTTTTTTAACTTATAAAACTTGCATTTAGAGAGAATTAATTATATATTAATTTAGTTTCTTTAATTGCAAGTTCTCTCTAAATGCAAGATATTTGCTATCCCGTTGACTTGCACTTAGAGAGAGTTGACTGTATTTAAAATGGTTTTATAATTAGTTTTTTTTAAGTCAATTTTTTATAAAGTTTTTAGATACAAATTTAGATGTGTTTGTTTATTTGATTGATTAATACAACATTTTAAACCTCTATAAAAAGACACATTTTATGTCCAATATAAATTATAAAGACTAAAACTAATTAGATAAACAACGGTTCTTTTAAATAGAAAAAAGTACCTAATTGAAACTATTATTTTATTTCAGAAGTGAGAGTAGACTTTTAATATAGATGTTAATATTCAATAATAACTTAGAATTGAGCCCGACAATTACAGTGCGCATAACTTTCTAACTTCTTTTAGGATTAATCCGAAAGATTAACTTACAATGATAGTCTTTTCATTTAATTCATCATTCGATTTCATCAAAATGGGACCGGCAATACTCGTCCCTCTAGCTTCTTTATATCGGAATTCACGTTCACCATCACCGAAATTGACCTCAACTTTACATTCACCATCTGTCCCAACGGTTGGGAACCAAATATGTTTCAGTCCACTAAATGCATTGCCTTGAGATTTGCCATTTTTGGTAAAGAAAACAATTCCAGTGTCAGGATAATAGCCACAACCTAAAAACATATATATATATATATATATATATATGATTAAGTAACTATTGAAAATTTTCAGATTTATTCAAAAAATGGCAATTTTTTTTTTTTTTTGTTTACCTATGGTATCTCCAATTTCACCCCATGTTTCAGCATAATTTCGACCTCCAAAGCCGTCATTGTGAAATTTGTTTCCATCATCAGAATGATAACCTACTGAATGATCATTCCAACCAGGTAATCTATCGAATGAAATTTATTTTTTTTACAATTCTTTGAT